TAGTGAACAAGAAAAGCGTATTACCTACTCCAAATTGGATTTCTCAACCAATTACACTCAATACTCATGTCATACGTGATTACATCGCAACTTACCAATATATCAGACTGAAGTGGGCGTTGCACACTCTCTTTCAAGGTTTTCTGCAAGCTCTTCACGGCCTTATCGTATCTTTCTAATTTGTTGATCTAAACCAACGGGATTGTGGATGAAGTTACAAGTAAAACCTATGGCTTGAACGGATATAATCAAAAACCTGAGATTTCAGTGTATTTTGAAGATCAGCAACTTTTTGCTTGAAGTTCCGGTCTACGGAGCACAGACCAAGCAACTCGTTGAGTCTAAAAATAAAATTAGCAGGAAATTTGATAAATAAAGTAGTACATGTTCTAGAAATGATTGTACGCAATTGGTACTTACTGGTGTGAGTCAAGAGTAATGAGGACAATTGCATCTGTTGGCTATTTTATAATGTTTCTTGTGAGCAAGGGATTTGCCTAAGGAATTCTTATATCAAGTTAGGAGATTTTTCCTGTTCTATCGCTAAGTTTCAATTTTTCCTGAAATAGTAAACAGATGAGCAGTAATGCCCTCAAACAATAAATATCGAAAATGAGTGCTATGAGCAGTATCACAAAATTCTCGAAAACAGCGAGTAGGTAATCATAGTGGAGAATGAAAATATGTGAGGCATAAGTTGCCTAAATATCACCTATATAACTAAGCTTATTGTTTATAAAGAAGCCTGGGAATGGATATGAAATTTGCCAAAATCGAACCCTTATTCATAAAAAGCCCCCATAAGTTTTGAAGTGATTCCATTGAATGCAGTAGAAGCTGAAATCTAGTCTCAATATTGAAATTATCTACAAAACATTTTCAGTAGGGAAAAAATTGTTCCAAGAAAACGCTACGGATGTATTTATTTTGATCCTGGAAAAATACATTTGAGAATTGCTTTTACACTATACCTATTCCTAAAGCTTGTTGCTTCCATAATAAACTTTTTGATCAGCGGCACATTTTCTAGACTAGTTATATTTTATCAATCAAAAGATCAAAGTTTGGATTAATGATTTATTTGAATTAGACTCT